GTTTACATTTTCCTGAGGTGGAGAAATTGTGCAAGAAATATCACAGCTTGGCTCATTCAAGAGTTAGGGTTGGGTGAAATGACTAAACTCCAACCAGTTGTCAAATAATATAAAGAATTTCAAAAGACTCTTTTGATGTTAGGGATTTACTGCAACCCAGCTAGCGGAAACCCAGCTAATTCAAAACACTTCCAACATTTTTATGTCAAGACTTAAAAATCTGCTTAAATTTACATCACAGTGTTATTAATGATGCTAAATTGCATTACTGTTTCTCTCCATCTCCCCAGGAAGGAACAGTGCGTGTCCCCAAAGCCCTGCAGCCGTATTTCGGTCTGGAAGTGATCGAGAAGCCAAAGTACACTCCGCTGAAATACATCGGACCCAACCAGCACCACCAACCACCCAGGCCTGCTCCCAAGACCAGATAAGTAAGGTTGGAGCCAGTTCACATTCAACACCCTCAAGTCAGACAGGAAGTAGATATTTAATATGGATTTTTTATGGATATGGAGTTTCATACACTTTGCTCTATGTCCATTCACAAGTTGTTGATCTCCGCTGTTCCTCAAATGAAATGAAATACAGTGATTCAGTGAGTTGGAATTGAGTGCATCGATGTTTTGAGGCGACGGATCAGACCTCAACCTTACAGTTTACTATCACTGTAAATATATTTATGTCTTATTTTGTCAAATGTCATTGTGAATGTAAGCTTGTATGATTACTGTCCAGCTCATCAGGAGGACCATAACAAGAAATAACCAATAAAAGTGTTTATTTTCTGTCTCATGTGTTGCTCACTTGTGTTATTCTCGTGCCCCATCCTGTCATACATTATACACACATGAACACAGAAACACAGTCAATGACATTGTGACCTTGAGGGGGGTCCTGTAAATGGAGCACAGCAATAGAAACTGCACCCAGAGGTGACACACAGGCCTGTTACTATGTGTTACATTACCAGCTGTTACAAAGGATCAATAATTGTTGTGTAATTAAGTAATTAACAAGCAGCTTGGGGAGATGATGATGTTTGACCTTGCAAATAAACTGATTTAATGATGAATAGTATTCACTCACTGGGTATACACACACACACACACACACACACACATATAGATATATGGTGGGATTTGAATAGAGTGGAATTACAGAGATGTTAATTTTCTATGTAGCTACTTTTGCACCCCTGAAGCCCTGAAAATGGTCCACGGACCCAGCTTTGGGAAACACTTGAAAGAATCTGCTCAGATACACTGATTAAATACCGCGAATCCTCAAACATTTTGTTAACACACTAAGTACAGGGCGACCATCTGACATCTCTGGCACCTTAACAGGGTTTGATCTGGTCTCAGTCACCTGACACACACACACACACACACACACACAGTGCTCGGCTCCACCTCGCTCGGCGGGTGTGTGAAGAAGATACAGCCCGTTATTTCAAGGTTATCTCCTGCAGGAACCTCACTTGTCCGGATCCTATGGGAATTTTGATAACCGCAGTTTTTCTCTGGGCTGCCGTCGGAGGTAAGCATCCATCACACTCACCGCACCGACACACTGTGTGTTCATATTGGGGCGCTCAGTGGGAAATGACGGTACAAAATGCGAGTGATAGCTCTCAGCAGGCTGCACCGGAGACAAGCCTCATCGTTCACACACTGCTGCCTCGGCTGTAGCCCCTGTTATTCTTTTCACCGGCTCGAAACCAGCCGTGGGCTCCAAACACACGGAACTAAATGCGTTAGAACAATACTTTATGGGGCAGACTGGAGGTGTATGCTAACCTAACGGCGGAAGCCTCAGGGGTTTACACTAATAGGCTAAACAAAAGCGTTGTTACATAATTTGTTATGCGCCCACCTTTCTGTGTGTGTCTGCTGGACCGACGGGGCTGGTGCTGGCTGGGATGGAGATTGTCAACACAAGCATATTTGACTATACTGGAAACAGTCCTCCTGAACAGCACACAGTAGGAATTAAAGCTGTGCACAGGTGAGCGGAACAGAGCTCGGTGGGAACGCGTTAATGAGTTAAAGTAAGTGTACAGAGCCCCACCATCTCACACACGGCTGTGGAAATAGGGTAAATGTTAGTCTGCAGTGGTGTTACGCGCAGTGTTATGCAGTAACAGGCGATAACCTACATAGAGCACGCTATATAAACTGTTTGTGGCTCTGTTTCTCCGTCAGTCCCCATCCAATCACAGTGACAGCTATGTGTACTTGAAAACATAGACTATATGTCACCACAGAACCAGCAGCTGTAGGTAAGGTAACTGTATTACTGCTGCTCGACGTCAATCAAATGCCAAGAGAGGAGTGGTATCATTTAAAAGTCATTACTGCGCATCTCCCAGCCCCTATAGGTGCACATGTATATTTCTGATTCACATGTGGCTCTAGGTTTTAGTCAAGGCAACATTTTGGAGCTGAATTTGTCAAATCATTTGGTCCATTAACCAACTGCAGTCCCCTAACTTGGATGCTTTGGATTTTTTATTTTTTTTTAAATGGAGTTTGGTTGACCATGGGCTCAGGCAGCTGGACAAGCCAATAAACCCAGAGCTAGATCACAGCGTTAATTATGGGCCCGGGGTGTCACAGCTTAGACAGAGAGTGGAAAACACACACATACACACACACACACACACCATCACATGGACCTGCAGGCATTACAGGGCCAAACTGTAGGCAGCTCACGTGTCTGCAGGGAGGGGGGGTTCATCAGTGGACATGGTGTCAATTAGTCCAATTGATCCTGATCTGTACTGATCTGGCTTTGTGCTGACACAGACCACAGAGTTTAAATCAAACATACAGCTTCTACATGTGTCATGTAAGGTGAAGGAACCAATGCACCGGAGTCTGTATCATATCTGCTGTGGAAGAGTTTCATAACAAGTCAATTAAAGCAACGCCTGTTTAGATAAGGAAGTGAATAGTTGATTATTTTAATTATTAAGATTCTAGTCAATCCACCATCACTGGAATATTAAAATATTTTGTAAATATAAATGTTTAATTTGAGTTTGATTGACTTAATTTGGTTTGGTAGTGGACATTTGACAGAAAACAGGAACATCTTTCTAACCTGGCCAAATTATCTGACATTATTGACGGCTGACATTTGGATTCAGGACTAAATGAAGGCGCCGTGATTCAACAGCATCATATCTTGCACCCAAATACAAAACAATAAGCTGCAGGCTGAACATGGATTGTGATCTATACCGACATTTAGGTTTAGATTAGATTCAGTGTATCTCCGTGAGAAAAAGGCACTCATGGCCCTGCTTAGTGTGCCTTTAATGATCTGCTGGCAGGCGGGGATTGGTGACAGATTTAGCCCTGGTGGGAAACTACCTGCTAGCTAAAGCCTCTGGGAGTGTCTGCATCCTGGAGAGAGAGGGAGATGGAGTTAAGCTTCTTTGCTGTGACGCTTTACCAAGGTAACTGTGCTTACCTTAATGAGGGAACAGTTCCACCCACGCCCTAACAACAAACTAGTTCATCTGTGGTGCTGGGTGACATAGTTTGGTGCAGTTTTTGCCGCTGCAGAAATGCTAAATGTATTGATTTGTGTTTCCATTCTCCCTCACACTCCCTCATCTCTCTCTCTGTGCCTCAGTGGGAAGCCGGCCAGTAACCTCACCCCTTAATGATGCAAAGGTCAGAAACAAGTCCTTTCTATTTCCCCTATCAATCAGCATAATATATATATATGTATATATATATGTTTTTATTACCAGTAGCCATAATTGCCAGTAATTGTGTGTGTTTTTCCATTTTCTGTATTGTGCTTCTAGGTTGAATGTATTATTCAGGAGACACTGAATGAAGACGGGTCACAACATGAGTGTGGCCCACAGCTAGCAGGTGACATTTCTAATTATCTGATCTATCTATGATTTATATCATTAGCTTTGTCTTTGCCTTTTTTGCTGATATTTATCCTCATTCTGGTCTGTGTTGCCTGTTTTGCCACATTCCTTTTGTTGTTACATTTGACAGTTACATGTTACATTTGTAGATGTTGGTATTCTGCACTTCCTTTTGTTGTGCTATTATTCTGGAGTGTTGTGTCTTCATTATTTTGCAGAGGAACTTGATGAGGTGCAAAGACATCAGGGTCTGCTCAGGGAGCTGCAGAAGCTGGCTGTTGATGGTACAAACAACTCACTTTGGTGTATTTTAACGTACTTGTCACTGTTATAAAACATAGAAAGACCAGTTTGGTGTTTAATTTCTTTTTGCTATAAATTACTGTTGCAGAGAAAGAAAGGGAGCAAGAGGATGAGAAGCAGCGATATGAGTACAACCTGGCTGACGATGAGAGCGACTTCGAGCCGGGGGATGAGGAGGCGAAGGAGGAGGGAGACGTGACCGACCTTGCAAAAAAGACAGAAGACAAGACAGTGGAAGATGACACCAAGCAGAAGATAATGGAGGAGCCCCGCATAGAGGACACAGGGAGGGACAATGAAGAGGAGAGAGCCAAGGAGCTTGAGGAGCTGCTGGCTGAAGAGATCACTAAGAAAGGGAAGGAGGAGAGGAATGATGAAGAGCTCAAAGAACTGCTGAAAGAGCTGAAGAAGAAACGCTATGAGGCGGTGAAGGAGAGGGAGATCCAGAAGGGCTCAGGAGCAGAACAGAAAGAAGAGGTGGAGCAAAAGAAGGAGAAGGAGAACAAAGAGAGGGAGGGAGATACAGAGGAGAACTTGGAGAAGCAGAGGATGGAGGAGAGGAGGAAGAACGAGGTGGAACTGATGGTAGAGAAGGAGAAGGTAGAGAAGGAGCTAAAGGAGCTGCTCAAAGAGCAGGACAGCAAAAGCAAGCTAGAGCAGGAGAGGGAGAGGAAAGAGAAGCAGGAGGAGCTGGAAGAACTCGTCAGGAAGATGAAACGAGTGCAGGAGGAGGAAAAGCAGGAGACGCAGGTTGGGAAGAAAGAGGACGGCATGGACAAAAGCGCAGCGGACGAGAAGAGTGACAAGAAGGAGGGCGAAGAAGGAAAGGAGCCCGATAAGAAAGCAGAGAATGAGGTCAAGAAGAAGGAGGAGGCGGCGGAGGTGAAGGAGCCGCAGCAGAAGAGAGTGATGGAGAAAGCGAGTGATGAAGCTACGCAGCAGTTTGACAGAGAGAGGTACAAGGATGAGGAAGAGGAGGAGGGTGAGGAAGATGAGGATGAATTCGTCAGAGAGGATGATGAGGGGCAACAGGAGGAGGATGATGAGGAGGGTGATGCCGAGGAAGATGAAGGGGAGGTAAGTTGGTGCAAATAATATGACGTGTATATGTGTGTGTGTGTGTGTGTGTGTGTTTTAACACTTTATACTACAGCCTGCAAAGTACAGTTTAATTATTTATTATATAGGTGGAACTAATTAAATACTCATAGTGTAATTATAGTGTACAAGGACAAATATGTAAGCACATGCGAAAGTGCAGGAAGTCAGTCAATTAAAGAAACTTCTTACATTTTGCATCTTAACAATACAGTGTTTACAATATACAATAGGTGTCTGCTTTTTCATGACCCACCATTAGGTATCAGTTTTGGACCTCCAAGGGAAAAAGTACATATTTAAAGTGAACCACATAGTTCAAAATGTATATACAGTGCTTCTATGTTCCTCCCTCCAACTACCAGCAGGCACCCATTATTAGCTATATGTACAACATATTTTCCCTTTGCACTGTATGTCATATATATGACTGTGTGTCATATATTCTCATTTTGTCTGGCCACAGGAGCTGCTGGAGATTGAAGCAGAGTTGCGTAAAGTTGCTGCAGAGCTGAGGGAGCTTCGCAGAGGATAAGACACACACACACACAGCAGACTGACAAGACCCTTTGTTGCATTCACAGTCACACATCCAGCTCACACATTTTCCATTTAACAGCCTTCAAGTCCCTGCAGCACTCAGAGAAATGTCTTCAGATGTTATTCTGTAGATGGACATTAGTAGAAACTGTACATACTGTTGATTAATTTTTGCTTTTAGATTGCCAGGAAAATGCTGTTGACATTTCCTCTTTGCTCATTCGAATGTGTCTGAGTTTCGAGGAAAAAGAGACACATTTTTCTAAAGAATTTGAAAGATGTGTCCATCTCCGCTCGTGTCTCTGTCTCAGTAAATGCTGTTTGTAAGGTAGACAGGTGATTTCACTTCAGCTGTAAATGGCCATGGATGCAAAGCATTCAGCACTTTTATTGAAACGTTATTTTTGACTGCAGATTGCCAACCACACAAACACCATCATTTGAAATCTGAGTCATGAATCCTGGCAAGCAGTGCTTCTTTTCTCTGAAGGTATCATCCTTGATGGTGTGTTCTTTGTGGGAAAAACTGATTCCCTACTATAAGTAATATGTGTATTTCAATATCTATTTTGTGCAATAATTGATGTAAGCTGTTCCTGCTGTTTTGACTGTTAAAAATATGCATTACTTATATTTCTACACAGGAGTAAGTCATTATTTCCTCTCCGTTTCTTTGATGATAAAGTAGAAACAAGGATTGTGTTTCATTTGGCTCACGCACTGTTAAAACCAGACTGTTTGTGACGAACCAGGGTGACGCGAACAAAACGTGAAAAGTCTGCACGCTGACACACATGTCAGATGTTAAGTTTGTCTTGAGTGTGGTTAGTATGTGGCGTCAGTACGTGATGTACTTAGAGCTTACAAGGTCTAAAAGTGTCACTTCAGGTTCTCAGCCAGCTTTGCACTCTTATCTTAACAAGCCAAGGAGTAGTCGAGGGAAGAGGGAGACACTAAAGCCATTCTGTCTTTTGGTAACAATAACATTGATAAATGCTCAGTAGTGTTACATCACAGTTTTCATGGCAGTCATGTCATTTGTGTAAATATCAGATATCATGGTCTGTAAGCCAAGGTCATAGGAAATATGAAGCAACAGCGCCCCCAAGAGGACACTGGGTAGAAATGCACACAGTTGCAGGGTAAACAGGGTTGCCATTGGAGGCCCACTTACTGCAATAACACAATATAGAATAGAGCACATATGAATGCAATAATTAGCCAAATAATGAATTATTTAATATATTTAAATATGTATTCCAAATGCATCATATAGTACTCATACAGCAGATATAATCTCTTTTTCTACACAGCCAAGATTTACAATACATTTATGTATTTCAACACTGGCAAAGTAGCCGGTCGACTTGTGTAAACACGTAGTAAAAATAACACATATGATCAGTCAACACTGATTCTCACGCTCATTACTGTCTATTCCAAAGATGAGATGTTTGTTCACTTGCGAATAAATGAAAAATTAATGTACTGTAGTTTTCTTTTTTCTATAGAAGTGCAAAAATGTTTCCACAAAATGTATCTTACAAACCAGCAAGGAAGACGTAGGAAATGTCTGCAGGGGGGTGACACAAGGGCATAGAGGACATTTCGAACAACAGGAAAGAAAAATTATAACAAAAACACCATTTGTAATGTTACTGGCCAGTCAGAGTGCTGTATTTTGTGCCTGCTGTATCTTCTTCTATGCTACCTGTCAATCAATAAACGCAAAGTGTATTAAACTGTTACTTGTTGTCGTTTGGTTTGTCGACTTGTTAAGAGAACAGAATCACTTAACAGTACAAAATCATTAGTGTGATTTACAGGGGATACACTTTAGGATCAAGTCATGTTAACAAATTACAAATAAATAACTTCTTACAATTGAAGCAAAGTCTTGGAAACAGCTGAGTTTGGTCCCAACGAAACAGCGAAAAAGCCGGTGCCGATGACTTTATTTGTCCTAGGAAGCTGATGAAACACAGAACAACCTGCGATCTGTTCCTGAGGTGACTCAAAGGCCAGTTGTTGCAGGACATGGACCACTTGTAGTCTGTGCTGACTCAGGAGAGCCTGTAGCCTGGGGACCAGCAGAGGTCTGTTTGTCCAACACATACTCAATGTGGCTAAGCAGAGAGGAGAAAAACTGGGGCACTCCCTCATAGCCTGAGAGGGAGAGAGAGAGAGAGAGAGAGAAGTTTATCAGAACATCAATGTGTGTGCGTGTATGTTCGTGTGTGTGTGTACAGCTACAGTACCTGGGAAGATGTTGATGTCGATGACGGTGAGAGTGTGTGTGTGTATGTTAATGATGACGTCCACGCCGAACAAGGCCATGCCGAGCTGGACTTGTAGCTCTTTGACCAGGGCGGCCACGGCCTCTGAGCTGGGGGGAGGCAGGCAGGGCATCTGCTCATCCAGCTTGGAGAACAGAAGAAGAAAGAAAATTTTTAGGTTGGATTTCAGCCTAGTCAGGTGCCAAATCGGTGAGGGTCTACCTGTAAATTTAGACTGAACTATTGACAGTATGTATGTGCACCTTAAATGATGCTTATTCCAGCAGTTTTGCAGACATATTAGCCTTTAAGTTAGGATACGTTAATATAAAGCATACAATATGGTGCTTACTTCTTCTAAAAGAATCTAGGAAGAAATTTTCTCATACTGAAGATCATTAGTTTGACGCATACGTACATGGCTTGTCATTAATGTGTGATGCCACTTGTATTACTTACAGCTGTAAGATCAGAGCTTGACTCTGGCTTTGACACCTGATGGCTGTTAAAGAAAATGGTTTTCCGGTCTGGAAGCAGAGAAAACCATAATTGGAACGGTTACAGGGAACAGACCGAGCAAAGAAAAACAAGGTAGCCTAACAGAGTACAAAGCAAGAAAGCAGGCACATGGCATGACAGGGCAGGAAAAGAAATTACAATACAGAGGAGGGAAGTAAAAGAAAAGACAAGACAGGAAAGGAAAGTATGGGAAAGGAAGAGGCAGGAAAGGTAAGAAAAGAAAGAAAAAAAACTAACAGGGCAGGGAATTTAAGGAAAGGCAGGAAAATATCTTATATTTTTGTCGGTCTGGTGCAGACTGACCACAGGGACCGGAGGGGAAGTTCTTGAGCGAGGGTCTCTCTACGCAGAAATGCCTGTCTCCAACCACAAACACCTTGTGCAGAACAGCTCCGTGGTTGACAAAGCTCTGGAGCAGACAGGGAGGATGGATATCAGCCAGACTCCCTGCACTGAAGATCAGAGACATCTGCACACACACCGCACCGTAAATGAACAGAGAGTAAATACCCAACAGTGATTGAACGAAACAAACACGACTGCACAGGTACGATTTTCAAGCAAACCACTCACCTCATGGGAAAGTGAGCCGTGTGCCACTCTGGTTTTACAAACTGGGGTCAACAGAGAAAAAGAGGAAGTGTTTGTGGGTTCTGTCATACTTTATGAGAAAGCAAAAAGGAAAGAAGGATATTCAAATTCAGAAGTGTGAGAACCATGACAGCCTGAGAAACGGCTGCCACACATGAGCTTTTAGGCTTCACTTACACGCGCAAAGAAGCTGAAAGGTGGTTACGTAATTTAACTTAACTAGTGAAATTAAAGATAAGGCTTCAGAAAGACAGAGAGTGAACTGACTGAGAGGAAAGCTTAGGCCCTGGGTCATCACAGCCTGTTGAATGGATGACAGGTCACTGTCACTGTGGATCTCTAGGTAAGGCGGACTGCAGATACGCCAGTCTGATGGACAGAATATAACAGGAAGCTGTGTTAGTATCTACAAGCGACAGTAAACTACAATACACACTATGAAGCTGCAGTTCACCTCGGAGTGAATTGTGGAGCTTGCTCATGATCCGATAAGAGGCAAAGCGGTCTAGTAGCTGGGTCATGGCGGGCAGGGGGTCCAGAAGAACTGTACTGGGATGAGCTGACACATAACTCTGCAATGTAAAAGAGAGATGGAGAAATCTTCTCACTTCCAATGTGAATTAATGGATAATTACTTATTAACAAGAATGCAGTTGCAAAGAAAATTAATATTCCTGTTAAAAAGGACCTCAGTGCAGGACATACACATATTCCTCCATGCATACATTTCATACAAGTGAATTTTTCTCCCACTTTGCCCAGTCAGACTTCCATGTTCTGAGCGGATTAAAAGGTCTTTTACAACGCAGCCCTACCTGGAAGTTGGCAAGGAGCTGCTGCGATTGGCTGTCATGCTCAGCCTCCACGATGACATCAGACAGCTTGTGAACGATAACGTCAAAGGGTCCCTGGGGTACCAGTGGCTGCGCAAGGTCAATCTGACAGAGGAGAGGAACACATTCACAACCTATGTAGTGAATCTGTCACACTACATTTTCCACAATACTTTTCATTTGAATTGTCTTCAGGTAATGTTTGGGAATATATGTAAATGACATACAATATTAAAGGTGTACTATATTATAGTCAGCATTGCTGCTTTGGTGTGTAAGGGAAGGGATGCATCTCTTGTGATAAACTAAAGACTACGTGTTGTCTGCACCGCTTTCCTCACCAACTGGTCAACAGAGACTTGTCAACATGTTTTGAAATAGTAAACCAACCAGGACTTTTGACTCTTGCGTAAAACAAACGTTCAGTTTTCCTCATTACAGACATTTTGATTAGTCATACCAGGAAAAGCAGCGGTGATAATACAAAAATGTAAAACTGTATTTTGTCTTTTATTGCAGTTTAATTTAACAGGAAATTTTATTTAAAAAAACGTGTTAAATTTATTTGTAACACATTAATGTCGTTTGTGTCCACATGCACTCTTTAACTTAACTGAATTGTGGTCAGGGTTTTTTTTATTTTTCACCCCACCACACTGCAGTTCAGTGCTCCTTGTATAGCAGCAGGTTTCTGTGAACTGTGAACCCGAGGTCAGACAATGTGAAACGCAGTGTGGGAGCTGACTGGCGCTACATATTTTCTCTGCAATGATCTCATTTGTTTATTGTAACTATTGACTATTCTCACTGCTATTTGTGGTGTCACTGTGTAAAAAGGTCTCTCTCACGCTCCTGTACAGATATTCACATGCAGTTACAATCAGGCAGCCATTGTTCATGGTTTTGCTACGAAGAAGATTACAGGAGGGGGCTGCAGGTGGCTGTGACATGGATTACTAAAGTTGTGGACATGTGTACATGACATGTGTGTGTCTGTGGGTGCACGGTTTTCCCAAACTACTGCCATGCTTTAACTGTAACTGCTTAACCTGTGGACTAAAATTACAACATGCTGTGTGTGATTGTTTGTGCGTCTTATGGCATTTATAAAAAATCATGCATGCAGATTCATCTTCACGTGCACAGTCACAGGGACCCTCACATACACACACACGGATGAAATGGCAAATCCTCTTCCTTATTTTTCACCACACACTTGCATTTATTCAAACCTTTATTGATTTCATTTCTATATGTGAAGAAAAACACTTACCTCCACCACTTCTACTCCATGGCCCCTGCAGGACAAATACTGAAATGTTTATAGTCTGAAGGTTATCATTACACAGTCACCTGATGTCAAACAGGGCTGCCAATAAATAAAGCTCCTCAAGCAGCAATGAAGCCTCATATGGATAAAGAACTGCACAACTGTCCGGGTGCCAGTTGGTATTACAGTAGTCATTATTACATTTTCCCTAACCGAGGTAACCTGTACTGCTGTTCAAAGAAAATGAAATAAAACTCAACCCCACATTTCGCCTTTGAATATCTAATGAATTGGCCCCACTATGAGGGCCTGCCCATTCACTCATTAAATATACATACATTAAAAAGTCCAAAATCCGCATCAACTTACGCACAGAAGTCTGCAAACGCGTCCAGGTTCATCCTCCTGCGTTTCTTATGGCTGAGACAGAAGCCAACCCTGCGGCCTGACATTTGGCTGTGAGTGCGGGGGCCAGCAGCAGCTGAGTGACCGCAGAGAGAGCCGGAGAGAGGGATGTCTGCCCCGCTGCTCTCCATTCATCCCTCCCCCTGATATTTCTGCTGACTGCTGAAGTCTTTAACAATGCCTCTGTCCTTTAAGGAGCGCTTCTTCCACAGTCATGGAAACTTTCCCACAGGTGAAAGGAGAGGGGCCCAGTCTAAAGTCACTCGACTTCCTTATTGCTGCCATCCAATAATAATGAGTGTGGCCGATGGAGGAGCTGCTAGCTCACTGAACAACAACTGAAAGAGAAAGTAAAAACCTGTCGGGGAAGTATCCATTATCCTGCTGCAACAACAGGCATGCTGCTTCATATCTACTGAGCGTCAAAAAGAAAAGAATAGCCGATTGTTCGGGACGATATAAAGATATATAAGATATATATTAAAGTGTCGTGAAGTTCATCTGAGGTCACGAGGAGAGAAAAAATGTCGCGCGGTTCAAACGCAGGTTTCGACAGACACATCACCATCTTCTCCCCGGAGGGCCGCCTCTACCAAGTCGGTAAGACTCACATTTTAACCGCTTCTTCAGTCCTGGAGCATAGTTACATTTTCTACTACACAAGAGGAGTGTACTGCCATTACAACGTGTTATTACTAAACCTACTGTTCGTACAAACAAGACTAAAATGCTTCAAAAATATGATTAGCTACCCGGGTAGCTAAAGGGGTTAGCCGGCCGGGTGTTAGTGTCTGGGTGGAGTGCAGTTAGCATCACAAACTGTACGAAAGTTTGCTTTTTGTTTAAAAAGTTATTTTTTTTGTAATACACTCCGCCATTATAAGTCAAATTTAAAGTTAAAGTTTTGATGTGATTTGACACATTAAAGTGTGTTGACTTCTCCAGTGGTAGCTATAGGTTACGTTCATTATTTGTCACGTTACTATGTCTTTATATTGACAGTGTGCTGTGTTGTTGGTTCTGTTCTGTCACATTCAAAACTTTGTCCTCTGTGTTATTTCATTCTGTGTGTGTCACATGTGCTTTCATGCAGAGTATGCCTTCAAAGCCATCTCCCAGAGCGGGTTGACATCTGTGGGGATCCGGGGGTCAGACACTGTTGTGGTGGTCACACAAAAGAAAATACCTGTAAGATATTACACACACACACACACACACATACTCACTTGCATGGTGGTGATCTGAGTTGAAGCGAAACAGTGAAGCCTCACAGGAGTCATGACTCCAGCTTTTTGCTGACTAAACTTGTCAAATATATGAACATAAGATAATGCCATAAGAATGCCAGTACTCACATTACCAAGCCAGAGACTACTTTAAGGAAGACACACAGAAAGAAGATTAAAGTTACTCCACGTCCTGTCAGTTTTAATGTCTAATCATCATAATCAGGGATAAGTGAGCGGTAAGGTATGTCCGTAGGTAGAGCAACATTTTGGAAAAAGCTGAATTCATTAATGGAGCGAAGCCTGCGAGCTATAGGCAGTCAACTCGAGCTGCGCTGATATACACACATGACATGCCTCACTGTAGGCTCCGGCTGGGGGTTAAGGCATTTGTGCATCACTCCCCAATATC